TTATTATATATATATATATATATATATATATATATATATATATAAAATAATACAATATTGAATTAGATGTTTATGGTATTACAATTTGTATGTACATATGGACACGAACTGTATTATGCACTCTTAAAGTGTCGCATTTAGGCAGTTAAAGTGAACATTTATTTATAATATAAAAATAAATATTGTAACCAATATTTAATTTGTAAATATTACTTCGCATAATTATTAATTTTATGTCATAAATTTTTAAAAATATAACTAATGAAATAAAAGTTTAGTAAGATGCCTTTTCAAAATATAAATATGTTAGATTGACATGATTAGAGATTGAGTATTTACTATTGTCTTCACATGTTACACATGTTTGTTATAATAAATAGTAAACATTTATTAAAAAATTTTAGTACACAATTATCTTTTATATATTATTATACTTATTATAAAACTGAATCTAATTTGTGCTTATAAATATTTCAACTTTATAAAAAATTCTGTGTTTTAATTGATGTTGACAATCAATTGAAATATAATCATACACGCATTACATATTTGATAAATATTCTTACTTTAGTTCGAAAAATGTAAACTTTTCTTAAACTCCACGATAAATATATATGTATTAATGTACAACTTTCCCGAAATTTATAGCACTATTGTTGTCAATTGTCAGTTATTACTGAATATTACACAGATTTAATTTTTTTTAAACATATACAAATTTAAAATTGTGTTCTTACAAAAATATAATCGTTTTAGTATTGCATATTACAATTTGTCTATATTACCATATTTATATATTTAATAAATGTGTACAAAATATATAGACAATAAATCTAAAGTATTTACTGGAATTTTTGAAAATAACATATATATTAAAAAAAAAAAATATATATATATATATATATATAATATATAATATATATAAGAATGATTTAGAATAATGTTTATTCTGAATCAACCCATACAATATACAAAATATAAAATAAATTTTAATTTTTTGTCAAATATACATGCAATGCATTCACATAAGCAAATTAAATGAATATTTTTGCATGTATAGATTTATATATTATTTTGCAACATAACAGCATAAAATGAATATATATTTTGCATACATGTGTGTGTGTAAACAATACGCGCGGATACAAATCCAAATCATCATCATGATTATTTTCAAAATCAATAAAATTTTACTAGCGTCCTAAATTAATTTTATATACTAATTAATACCGCTACTTTCTTTTAAGAATTATAACTCCTCAAAGAAAGCAACTCTAGCTTTAGTGGATCCGGATTTTACTTTTTTTAATGTGCTGTATTTATTCTCACCGAGTCGAACTTGTTCCTCATGTAATTGATCCAATTCGCATTGTTTCTCACCAACTTTTAAAACTTCAATTTCGGAGCGTAATTCTCGTAATTGTTCCTGCAGATGTTTACTTTTCTCTAAATAATCACTCCTTTCTCTTTCGATCTCTAATGAAAGTTGGTCAACATCTCCATCACCAATGAGATCATAAGATGTTAAGTCAGGTGGGAGAGGTTCTGCATCTAATTGCAAAGTTTGAAGATCTGCTTGTAGATCCGATGGAAGTACTTGCGTAGAGGGAAATAGATTTGGCACAGGCTGTAAACAAATTAAATAAATAATTCAGAAACTTATAATATGCAATAACTAAGCATTATTTAAATTTCTTTATATTATATTACCACTATTCTATCGATGGATATGATATAGTGGTAATATATAGTGGATGGATGGATATATATACACACACACACACACACACACGCGCGCGCGCGCGCGCGCGCATACGTGTGTGTTAAAAAATATATTTACAG